GGCCATTGTTATTATTACCCCTATGTTTTCAAATGTGCCAAAGCCTTCTAACAGTAGTATTTGGAAGGAAGTAGAAGTTCCAGGTGTTTGTTTACACTTGGCTCCCAGGGCTACAACTGTGCTCTGAAAAACTCTTACCAGCGGGTTGAGTTACTTCCTAACACAGTGCAGTCCAGGGTTCGGACCCCTTCATGACCGGACAGGGTCGGCAGGAGAGTAACCTGAGAATCCGACCAGATACCTTGTATGACTCAAGTTTTCATGTTTGAGGAAGCCTGGCATGGGTCAAAGATCTCAGCTTGTCTTTGTCTTCATGCTGGGTGTCATCTGGAAGTGGATCCAGATGTCTCAGGAGAATTGAGTGGTTTCTTGATATTTTGACTTGAAATTAGTCTAACCGGGTCACTGAAATTCAATTTTTCTGTTTGAACATTGTTTTTGGTAGGATTATTGCAGTATTCGCTCCACCATTCAATCCATATTCCTATAATTCCACTTGAGCATGACAAACATAGGCTTTGACGGTAAGGTGACTTCTGAGTTTTACTGTCATTTATTTTTTTGGTGATCCATACATTGTGTGTGTGATAAAGAAAAACACTAATAACACTATTCATTAAGGACTGCTCTTGTCATTCAGAAATCTTCAGTCAAAAAATCGTTTGTTAGAAAAAAAGTAGCAAACTTAGAACCAGATCAAAAGTTGCCAAACCATAGCCCACGGGCTAAATCCAGCCTGGACCATGTGCTTACATATTGTCTGTGGCTGCTTTCCTTGCTACAATGGCTGTAGCATGGAGTAACGAGAGAGGCCACCGAAGAGAAAATATTTACTATCTCACTCTTTATAGACACAAAAATTGCCAATTGGATAAATGGCACTCAATAATAGCATGGATATTATGTGGATTAAAGTCTTTACTGCAGGAATGTTCTCTGGTTTCTTTGTCATTATTTTAGACTCTCTTGACTGTATTTAAGACCTTCTGTGGTCTTGAATCTTATTACTCTCCTATTCATTGTCCAGCCTCATCCAGGACCGTGTTCCCCAAACGCACCATGCTCATTCGCACTTGCCTATTGTTGCTAGGCATCAGGAACACAAAGTCCATGAAGATCTGGTTCCTGTCTGTAAAGCACTTGCTATCTAGCATGAGCTTATTACTTAGAAAGCACAGTGCCTGCAACAGAGTATGTGTCACCTACATTCACAGGGAGCTGAAATGAATTGAGCCAAATTAAAATGTATACAAGGGAACTGTTGCTCCCATCCTGGCATCACCTACAAATCAGACTGAGGGGTCTTTGTACTACAAACTTACAGAAGAAACTCCCTGATAAATCCTTGAAAAGTTAACTGAACAGCATTTTCTAAATTCAAGGCACACAGCAAAACTACTCTACGTTAACTGAAACATTTTACTAAATCTTTCTATACAGGTGTCAAAAATGTTCTATCTTTCTTTGTTAGAGAGAGTGAAAGAGAAATACAGGACTGATATTCTGAACATTAAGGGCTGCTTTTTGGGGTTATGGATAATTATCTGTGCCATGTCATAGATTCCATTATGATATTTCCTGATAAAAGTAACATTATTGGTACTGAATTTTTCTCCTGAGGTGATACTTGGAGGTCCACTTATGAAATTGTGTTTAAATGAAGACTAATTAATTGTAAAAGGACCTCTTGGCAAAGATTGTTCAAATTAAATAATAATTACCAAATATCCTCTTCATGTTGTGCTATAAAGACTCAGCCTTTAAGTTCTACCAAGCTCTTAACAAGTCAGTCGTGGATAGTAATTACTCAATAATCTCTTCCTTCAGTGGTATAAGCCCCTTAGGTTTTTTACAGCTTCTTGAAAGATGAAGGAAGGAAGGAGGGCAGGAGGGAGAGGAGGGAGAGGAGAGAGAGAGGAAGGTAGAAAGGAAAAGGAGGAAGGGAGGGAGGGAGAGATAGAAACAAGGAAAGAAAAAATTCCACCTTCGAGTTGCACTTAAATATGTATCACCTAAGGACTGAAGGCATTTTTAGTTCAACCACTCAACTGAAATACTCCAATACTAACTGGGTGAAAAAAACCATTGGTGTTGCCTTCAGGTGTCTAACAGATGTTGTCACAGATTTGGTTTCAGACTAGAATCCTAGACCTTTCTGGCACTGAGATGTGAATACTCTTACTCACTATGACTATTACAGAATGTTAAAAAAAATAAAAAATAGAGTATTTCTTAAGCACTAGGTAGGAAGTAGGAGCGGTGTTATTCTGGATCAGTTCTAGAAGCAAAGCACTTTTTATCGGGACAAATGTCATAACCATTCCACAAGTCTTACCACATCTAACTGGTCCTGGGTGCAAAGTAGTTTCCTTGCCTTCATGACAAATTTGCGTGGTGTCTGTCTCACTTGTGTAAGTGTGAGGAGCATACACAATTTGGGGAGTTACAGCAAGATGATTCCCTATGCTTAGAAAAAGTGGAACCAACTCTAAGAACTCATTACTGTATACCTAACCTGGAGCTTAAATAGAAGTTTGTGAGCAAAGGAGGACTGGGGGTGCTGTCAGCCATACTCTGGTGCTATGGACTAAATTATGCTTCCAAAATCCATGTGTTGAAGCTCAATCCCCTAATGTGATGGTATTTGGAGATGGAGTCTTTGGGAAATAATCAGATTTAGATAAGGTCATGAGGGTAGAATTTTTATAAGAGAAGACACCAGAGGTAGGTCTCTCTCTCTTTCTCTCTCCCTCCCTGCCATGTGAGGCCACAGCAGGAAGGTGACTGTGACCGTGCTGGCAGCCTGATCTCAGACTTTCAGCCTCCAGAACTGTGAGAAATACAGTTCTGCCGTTTAAGCCCCCCGCCTATGGTGTTTTGTTGCAGTAGGCCTAGTGAAGGCACCTCGTATCCAGAAGAGTTTCATATTTTCTAGTAAAGGATGTATCTAGGGCGATGTGAGTCTGATGCTGTGATTAATACATAAACAGACTCTGAGTGGCTCTTCTATTTATCGCCAAGATACAATCTGGCACAACAGTTTTATTTGATAGACAGCGTTGGCCCGCGCTTGTCAACTAGCCAGTGTGAAATAACATTATTACTGTATGATGTCGTGGTGGGCCACATAATATTTCCATTGGATGACACACACAATGAAGAGATTTCAGACTTCTCACCTGTTTGCATAATTAGCATTACATATTTGTAAAATTAAGGTACTGCTATCGCCGTTATTACCAAGTTTCCTTCCTTGCAGGGTGCTGCATGCGCGTGTTTACTTTGGAGAATGATCAGAGAAAGTGCCTCCACCTCCAAAGGCTCTCTGTGTCCACACGGTCCCCATACAAGGCACACAAAGCCCCCACTTCATCTCATGGCCTTGCCCCAAATAAAATACCCAGGGCCAGCTTGAGGAATGAGACAAGAGAACAAGAGCCACTGGCCTGAAAGGCCTGGCTCTGAGTGTAGTTTCTCGGTCTACTGCTGGTTTGAAAGGATTCTGTAGCCATAGGCTATCTCCAGATAGAAAGATGGTTCAGTGACATCCCTTTGGTAAATAAGTAGCTATTCCTCCTCCTTCTAAACGTCACATTGAAGTAGGCTGTGTTTTCTGATTAATTCAGTTTGAATACTGCTGACTGTCTGTCACTGTAGTCGTATGTCACTGGTGGCAGCTCAGAGAGTCTAACCCTCTCTAACATCCGTGCACACAATTCATTTTAAAATGTGGTCTAATAGTTACTGAATACCTGCAAGGTAAAGGGAAGATGGGATGCATTTTCCCTCAAAATAGCCTGCAACCAAATTTATGAAAGCAAACTCTGTAGGCACCGTAGCGTTCTTTGCAATGCAAAGGCTGTAAGTCACTTGGAAATTTCCCCGAAGAATTGTCTTCATCTTTTACCAGAGCCTGACCAAGCCCGTGGTACTCCGACATGGGAGGAGATATGGTACCTCCTTAGGTTTTCTTTGGCGTATAATTAGAGAGGGACAAAATACCACGGTGCTCATCCCTGCGTGGTCTGATGGAATAGCCCTAGGTTTTCACACCAACCAGCAGATCTGAGCAAGCCCCGTGCCCCACAATGCACCTCACTTTTTCAGTTCTGGAGGGAGGATGGTGTAGTGGAGACCCAGGGCTTTGGAGTCAGAAATCGTTTCAAACGGTAGCTCTTGCTGTTAATGAGCTTTCTAATGCGGGCTACTTGACTTTTCCTGGCCCTCAGTTCCTCATTCACAAAATGGTAATGGTATCACCTCATTAAGTTCCCTTGTCGAGCAAATGAAACCCAGAACAGGAGGGTGTAGCCCCTGTCCCTTGTTCTTTGAACGCGCATTAGAAAAAAGCACTACTAAAATATGTGCATAGCTTTTACGCATGCCCATGTGCAAAAGTGACAAGGCTTTGACCTAATCTTGCCCCGGGCTTTGGCCTCTACCTCCAACAATAAATATATACTCCTCTGTTTACAACTCCATAAACAGGGACATGTATTTTTGTTAACAATGCATGCTCTGGGCTGTCTCCGTGATCAATTACTTTATATCACTTTCAAATTGCCATATGTTTACATCTTTCGAAATAGCTGTCCCCTGAACCAAAAGGGCCTGCCTGACTATGGCATGGTCAGAAGGGTTCCCTTCAACTTATCACATCTAGAAATGCCACAGACAGAAATGCTTCCGGGCTATTTGTTAAGAAAACTAGCATAAGCTGCTTATCAGAAAATATTACATTTTCCCTGAAAGGTGAGCTGTTCTGTCAGTTGCTTGGGCTGTGTGAAATTCCTTTTTTGTCATGATAGGTCACTGCACAGAAGCTATCCAGAGACTGCCATCTCCCCGGTGGATGCCAGGGCCCTGGGCAAAACCCTGCAAAGCTAGCCTTTGTTTTCAGAACAAGTGCACTGTGGTTGGAATCCAAGCCCCATATAAATGTAAGTGGCATTAATGTTGTGCTAATTGTACAATTGCTAAAGACATATCGATCAACTTACCTTCTGGATCCAGACCCTATACAGACTTGGTGCTCTCTAGTTCCTCATGCTGACTGAATAACGTGGTAGAAAGTATGTCATTCTTCTTCTTCTTCTTCTTTTTTTTTTTTTTCTAAACTCTTCAGCCTAAGATCTGAAGTGTCAGCACCTGAAAGAGCACGACAAGGAGACAAGGCCTTGAGTTTCAGGTCCTGTTCTGTTAGTTATTGGTGGCATTGGGCAGGTCTCTCCAAATCTCTGCCACTCAGTTTCCACATCTGTAAAATGTCAAAGAAAGTACCATTTCTCTCTCGGAGTAATTACGGGGCTCATGGGAAAACACTGAAGTAAAGATTCTTGCTCACTGCACAGGCGAGGATAAATGTAAGCATGGAAATGACCATGATTATAGTCAAACGTGTTATCAGATTCCACACAATCACGGCGAGAGGCTAATCACTGCCACTCTCAGCATTGAGTTTTACGCTCAGTGTGTTGGGCTCAGCCAATCAGTGTAGTGTTTTAATGCTGGGTCGATTAACGACCTAGGAGGATTGGATTCTGCCTGGTTTATGGTCTGGACTATACAAATTTGCATTTTGACCAGAGACCTGGAAGAATTTACTGTGCTTCATGAGGTTTTACAATGGAGTCTATTAAGTATAATAATATTAATAATAACAATAATAATAATAATCAAACACTCAAAAGGGTAAATGGCTTTCTCGAAGACATTATAGGCAGTAAAGATCAAGATTTAATTTACACCTGACTCTGTCTGGGTCAAAATATCATCATCCAGAGACATGCAGCTTCAGAGGCTCTGTGCCTGAGAACGCTTCTGAGAAAGGCGATGACCAGAGTCATGTAATCTTAAGCTCTTTCCTTTAATTCTCAAGAGCAAATAGAAACAGTTTACACGCGATTCTTGTAGATGTAAAGACAGCACCGAGTCTCACGTTTGGAGCAGAAGTATGAAAAGATCAAATTTACCTCTCTCTCCCTTTCATTTAGAAGACTCAAATTCTCTCTCTCTCTCTCATCCTCCTTCTTTCCCTCCCTCTTCTCTCCCAGTTTTTTTTTTTTCCTCTCTCTTTCTCCCTCATCTCCTGCCTCCTTCTCCCTTTTCTCTCTCTCTCTCTCGGAGAAACATTGGCCCAGGAATAAGAACACAAGACTTTAGGCATCAGAACCATATTTGGACACCAGCTCCACTAACTCCTAGCTCTGAGCTTAGGTATTGACTTAACTGCTCAGACCTCAGCATCCTCACATCTGAAATAAACCCACTCTCCTTCCCTCCATGTAAGGCCATGGGTGGACCACGGAAAATCGCATAAACAAGGGGCCTAGCAGGGTGCTCTCCATTAAGGAATGGAAATTCCTTCTCTAACCTATACATGATATCTGAACAAATGGTATGAGAGGAGCAAACTATGATCTCTCAGATTTTATTACTTTCTAAATATAAAGATTCTTGTCAAGTTGATGTGTTTGTACTGAATTGAGCGACTATTTTCACATCACGCAGAGGGAGGCAGTGTTTTTCAGGATTGTGTGTCATTTGGCTACTGGTTCATGGATGCACCGTGCAAAGCCTCTATGGCTCTTTTCCATGGTTGGCCAGTGGTTAGGCTCAAGACCTGTCCTTTGTGCTCAGTGATCAGTATATTCCAGCCTCGTCCCTTCTCCATCTCTTCCTCTCCCCTCCCTAGTCACTCTGACACCTGCTTTGCAGCCAGCACAAGGGCTGAATTCCCGAGGAGAGGGGTCTAGGAGGGCTCTCAGAATGGGTTTGGTTTGTGTTATTTGCAGTAACTGGTTGTAGGTGTTTTTAGCTTCTAATCTCATGTCCTTTTCTGAGCTTGTTACAAATCACCTCTAATTACCTGCTTCAGGGTCCAGTGTCAGGCAGGGGTTAAAGTAAACAGTACTGAAAGACACTACTACTTGAAGCCAAAAGTAGTCCCCCATACGAGGGACAGGAAACAGCCCCTGAGACCTCAGGCATCCCTCCCCACGGACATTCCCTGAATTCCTTCCAACTGTTACTTCCTTTTCTTAAATGCAGAGACTATTTTCTGACTATGCAGAATCACAAGCCATGTGCCTACTAAGCACACCTGTGATATAGTAGGTGTTTCTGTTCTTAAAATGATTGCCCCGGAACCATACTGACTGCATGGGAACGCTAAGTGATGGAAGACTTTGCTGGAACCTTTTATTGTTTGTTTATTTATTTGGAAAAATGGTAGATGAATCACTTAACCCACTGTGGAGAAGCAAGGTAAAGAGAGAATTGTTTTTCTGACAATTACCCGTGGCTCAAGTAATCAGAAGGCCATGATAGAACCCTCTGAGATGTGCCACTGTGGGTTCGCTCTGAATAGATAAATATAATCTGAAACACTTAGATCTTATGTGTTCCCAAATTGTCTGCTCTGTGGATTTGCCATTATTCTTATTATTCCAAAGCGTACACATATTTCCGTTTCAAACAATGGTAATAATACACAATTTTGAATTGAAGGTAGGCTCTGTAATCTAGTGTATCTTTTTGTGGTGCGTTCATCTGTAAAGGTACTTTAAAAACCATAAAGCACTATACAACAGAAGGTATTTACTGCGGGTGCTATGTGTATTCTTTATTTTTATATGTAACCACAATAATAATGAAAGGATTCTTGACCTGCCTGCATGCTAGTGATGCTGTTTCACCAAACTCACACCCCAGCCAGCTCCTTTGCTTCCTCGTGGATTTGCAGACCGGACATGGTGAACCCTTTCCAATCTGACAAACGTCACCATCCATCCACCCGAGTCACCATATGTGGCTCCAGCTAAGAGTATCACCACACAATCATACATTTTTACAATGGGTCTATAAAACAACCATTATAATAAATGTCTGCTTAATTAATACATTAGGACATAAAGCAATTTATTATGCTCTTATTTGCTATCATTCTCCCTGCTCAAATTTAATAATGCAAAAAGGTTTCTCAGATGCCAACCCCTGGAAATAATAAAAATACATTCATCATGGATATTGAATGCAGACACGCCTGGCAATACTGCTGGCAAAGAGGAGGCAGTCAGATGTGAAGAGAGAAGTCGGGGCTGTGTGCACAAGCTTGGCTGGCGGGAATCGAGTCTCTCCGACGGAGGAAGGAGCCCAGCGCAATGCTTGGCATGGCAGAAAGGAAGGTGCCCGGAATAACTATTATTACAATATGCAACAAAAGGGGGAGGGAGAAAAGGAGCAGGGGTGAAAAGCTTTCAAGTCAGTTAAATTCATGAGGGCTATGGAGGCTCAAATTGAAATTATCTCACTCTGTGCTGATAAATAAAGGAGCTCTGGTACCTAAATCATGACACTAACTATACGTTTCGATTTTTTTAAGTAGTGATTAGGTGGATACTCTGGGGAACCTACCAGCCTTCACAGAGATAACAGACTCAACTTAATATCAACTTAAAAAGAGACTTGAATTCTAACCAATCTCATGTAATGAATTGAAATTCTATAGCTTTCAGAGGGGGGGAAAGATAAAAAAGCGACACGGCTCCATCCTCTAACTTGCTGTCAGGAAATATAATTTGTGCTCTCGGTGATTCACCTAGCTCATATGCAGCATGCAAATTTATTTCCCTAATAATCAGACCTGGAGATTGCCCAAGAGGATTAATAGCATCATTCCTTATGACCGCCAGGATATTATGCACCTCTGACATGGAAAAATTGTGTTAGTTCTACAGAGAAAACGCAAGGATATTTGTCCTGCTAGACAATATAATAGGCTGGTGCATCATCAGATTACAATGTCATTTCAAAAACCTTGAATACAAATAATGGACAGTGGGGGAAATGTTGGAACAACCTCCCTTAATTCAGTAGCCTTGAATTCACATGTATTTCTGTGTGTGCTAGGCAGTGTATGCATATTTCTTTTATTAGAGCTTTCCACCATTGCATGCAAAAAGGCGAGGGTATTTTATATTCCATGAGATCTTGTCATTGTTTCTTGGAAAACGGATGAAAAAGACATGAGAAAAAGGGTTCTCTCTATGGCTTTGCTTTATTTGTAATCCACCCATACACAGCCGAAGATAGCGTTCAGAAGCAGAACTTGCATTGGTATCCACTGATTATCTGGAGTTTACATGTGGGGTGTGCTCCTTGGTATGTAGACAAACATGGGTATCAACAAATGTAGCTTCCACTCCTGTCTTTATTCAAACAAGAAGTCATCCGTATCTTTAATCGTTTCATATTTGATACCCAAGGTAAGAGCAGTATGTTTCACAATCGTTGTTTGGGACTATATTTTATTTTATTTCTTTATCTTTGACAAGGAATCGGTCAGAAATTTTCCAGAACAGTAATGTCTCCAGCTGTACTTTAGACCAAAGAACGCTGCCTTGAGACAAGACCAAATTTCATTATTATGCGCATGGGAGCAATAAGATTAGCTCCTACTGCTGCCCCTAAGGTGGAGCAGCAGGATGAACCAATGAGATGATGCTAATGTGCATGTTAATAGTATTCTGCTAGAAGAAGTTGGGATAATTAAACATGTACCGTCTCTTTAAGACAGAGCTGCACACATTTTCTTCGGATGGGTGTTTACAAGAATTCCAATTTCAGGTCATAGCCATTTCTGAGATTGCTTAAGAAAGAGATGGGAATAACTTATCTTATTCATGTATTCAAGGAACCTTATAAAATGTGCAAAACATAACAGTTTTAAGGGGCAAAACATGCATCTTATCTTGACAGAGCTGCTTTATTATGTGTACTGTTGTATACTGACCTAATATATGGAGCATTTTTAGCTAATATACCTTGCAGGAAACCAGCCTTTAATGTGATGGATTTTATGGTATCTCATTAGGGTGTGTTTATATAACCTGATACTAAACACGTTTTCAGATTCATGTTCCTTATTAAAATTGTGAGCCACATTGATTTTTAGTTGGAACAGCCACAGAGTCATTTTTACCATTAAGAAGGGTAGCTCTGAACTTATTCCCTGAGCACAACTGTTTTCTGTACAAACTTGAAGATGTCCCCTTTTCCAGCTTCAATTAGCACAGTCTTCGTGGCATGGCACACTGTCCTCTGATTGCTCAGAAGTGTCTGTTAGGTTATTATCCGTAAGGCAGAAT